GAAAATTTGGCAATTTCTTGCAAAGCTAAACAAAGTATCAATAAAAAAATCACATAGGGCCAGGGCTTTAGCTCAGTGGTTTCGCCACCTGCTGCTCAAGTGCAAGGACCCAAGTTCGATCCCTGGTACCAAAAAAAAAAATCACACTCCTAGGTATTTACCCAACTGATTTGAAATATTACATCCATGGAGAGATATACATGTGACTCATAGAAACCTCATTTATCATTGTCCCAAACCAGCTGGAACCAAACAATGGGTGAATGTATTAATAAGCTAATGTGCATGCATGCAATGGAATATCATCCATAGACAGGAAGAAATGAGATCTCAAAAACCTGAATACATCCTGAAACACATACAAAAATCAGGTGCTTTCTGCTGAGTGAAAGAATCCAGCATAAAAGAGGATGCATACTCTATTGTTCCATTCATTTGACATTCTGGAAAAAGTAAAACTATAGTGACAGCTAAAAAGACCCATCATTGGCAGCATTTCAAGGAGGAGGAGGAGGGCTGAGGCATCGGGGATACTTTACAGCAGTAAAACTGTTCTGTGTGAGGCAGCAATGGAGGCGGTGGGACACTGACAAAACCCACAACACTGAAAACATTGAGTTAACCTCTGAACCCTAAAAAATCAATTAGGAGGTTGGAAGAATGTGGAAGAAATGCAGGATATCGAGGTAAAGCATATACCTGTAATAAAAGTGCATGAAACCACTTCCTTGAATGGGGGGTTGGTCAATAACATGTTAACCTGTGTTTGGAAATGAGTGGAATCTGTAGGACCCCAGGCAGAATAAATTGCATGCATGATGTTCCATGTGTGTTCTGGTTAAGAATTGCGCTCCTACGTAAGTGTACAAGAATGGAGGAACTGAGTTCATGGAAGATGCTGGGAACCAGGTTCCTCAGCAGTGGAAAGGGAGGATGCAGAGAATGAAGGGAGAGAGAAAGAACGGTTCGGTTCGTGTGGCAATGGATCAGAGCTGGACACAGACCTAACACGGACTCTTGCTTATCTTAATGTGGATGCAAGTAATTGCATATGAAGTGTTAGGAACTTCAGAGCCCCTACAGAGCAAGCCCCCTCCTCCCCTCTCCCCCTGCCCCACTCTGGCCACCAGGAACAGGAAACTTCCACATAGCTAAGGCCTGACCTCCCTTTGTCAGTGACTCTCTGCCTAGTTAAGGTCTTTCTGCCCCACCTGTTTCTTGGTCAGATGTTCCAGTGAGAGGGGGGCTTTCTGAAAGCAATTACTCCATCCCCTCCACCGAAACCTGTTGCCACATACCCCAGCCCCAATTAGCCACCCTCACCAATGGACTAGGGCTCTCCCACCTGCAAAATGCCATATAACCCCCCAGTTCAGCCCATACTGTGGCTGATCTCCCTCCTGTGAGTCAGTCCAGGCAGGCTGCAGACTGCCACCCCCAATAAAGGCTTGTTGCTTGATGCCCGTGTGTGCCCCCTTCTTCGGTGACCCTTTCACCAAGTAGTTGCAGATATGGATGCATGTACAGATAGTACACACTGGATATTTGTTTGTTTCGTCAATTCAGAAGCCAAGAGACAATGACTCCCAGCAGCAGTGAGCAAACCTCATGCCCATGGTTTCTAATGCTGCTCTCCAGTTAAATTAACAACTTTTCTTGGTGAAATGCAAGATTCTAGGATAGTAAAGGAGATATGTAAAATGAGTCTAGTGCATTTTGCCATGCATGAAAGGAGATATGAAAGAAAGAATAAAAGAAAGAAGGAACGGAGAGACTGAAAGGGGAAGGAGGGAGAAGGGAAGCAGGAGGGAGAGGGGAGAGAGGAAGGAATGAAAAATTTGTGTGATGAGGTTGACTCAAGGTCACACAGGAGCCTAATGAGGAGGCTTTCGGTGGTCAAAGTTGGAGCAGCCGAAGCAACAAAATAAGGTGGTATTTCATCATAAGTGAAAATCTAGTATAAATACCCATACATGCACACTGACAGATAAACGAGTGAACAGATAAAAATAGTGGGACCTAGAAAATTTCCCATCTGGAAGAATTCCCCATAGTTGGTAGAGCACCCCGACCTCATAGATGGGAAGGGTGACCACCCAGCCCCTCGTCAGGGTGGTCTGTGTATGGGAGTTCCACTGTGCATGTACGGTGTGGGAGTGGAGAAAAGGTGGCCTTACAGCGGAGGAACTTGAACACTGCCTCAGTCAGGTGATGAGACCTGGTGCCCTCAGGCACCCTGGATGCCACAGGACGGGACAGGGACTTCCTCCCACGCACAGCTTTCAGCAATAAAACACTTGCATGAATCCCAATGGGGAGACATTCTACCAAATGCCTAACCTGCACTGCTACAAAATTTAAATGACTATTTTAAAAAAGGAAAGTCTGAGAAACTGTCACAGTCATGAAGAGGGAAATGTGGAAACTCTGTTATTTTTGCAATTTTTTCTGTAAATGTAATTTTTTCTAAAGTAAAGCAGCTTTTGAATAAACAAGCTCGCACTGTTTTTAGGGGACAGTGGCCCTCGCGATGCTTGATAATGGCACTTCATTAAGATTCAGGCGTTTGTGGGTCTCTCCTTCCAGCTCCACCCATGGCCCTGGCTTACCTGCAAAATTGGATTCATTTCAGAGACCCTCACCAAATTTCAGCATTATTTCCATCTATTGCTGGAGGAAAATCAACACTCCATCTTCATCATACTGTACAGGCTAAAAATTTCATCTTCGACTGCACGGCTGCCAGAGTTTCCGGTATTTGGTGCATAACTAATGGACTCATCCCTCACGGAAGGAAAGGTGTCAGGAGGAACATGACTGATAAAGCCATGCTGACTTCGGCGGGCAGAGGGGAAAGTCGATCGACACTGCCAGAAATCAGGCCCTTCCTGATAAGATGCCAGGACGGCGTTCATTCATACCCATCCAAGTAAAGACAGATGCTATGGATCTGCATGTGTCCAAATTTGTATCTCTGAATCTGGGGCCAAGCCCTTGGCAGAGGGAAAGGTAAGCTTGCTGTCTTTCTCCCAGCACATTCCTCCCAGAGGGAGCTCTCTGTTTTGGGAACGGTGGTACTGTTTAAGCAGAGACTGAGTCCTTGGTCCCTGTGGATGACCCAGCCGGCCCTGCATTCTAAGTATCGTGGTGACAGTCCCCATGTGAAGAGCAGTCGCTGCCTGGGCTCCAGGGCCACTGTCATGCCCACCCAGGCTCCAAACTCACAAAGTAAAAGGCAAATCGTTCCCTACAAGGCTAATCACTCTTTAGCTTAGTTAACATATTTTGGCTTTATTTTTTTTAATAGATTTTTGAAATAACCAGTGTTTACCTTTAAAAAGTACACACAAATCAAATTTCCTCCCTTGCCACTGTTTTTAGAGCACATTTCAAGGGGCAAATGAGTGCATTGAATCAAATGAAGCATTTTAAAAAATAAGGGAACATTGGAGAGTAACCTCTGGATGGTGCCCTCCTTGGAAGCTGGTGATGCCCCCGGAACAAAACCACAACAACAGGGATTGTAGATCATGTGTTTTCTTCATAGATTGCAATTTCTGGGCAAATCTTGTCTGGAAAGAGGAACCAATAACATCTCTGCCTCTTTGTGGTACATATTGCTTCTCCACAGAATATCTAGGGGTTTCAAGATTTAATTCAGCAGACTGCAACAAATGCCTAATCAGAAAGCATTTTTCTATCCCTAGCTCTTAAAGAAGAAAAGAGCACAGGTTGATAACAAACCCACGGGCAATGAGCTGTAGACGTCCCGGGAGACTGCAGCCCTCTGCGGAGATCAACGAGAGGAGACCTTTCTAATAATAACATCAGCAGGAGGTGTGCCAGGGAAACTGTTTGAAATCTTAAAATGTTCTCATGAATGCATGGCTCAGACTCGAGGTCACCCACAGCCTCCCTGGTTTTAATTTCTTTAAAACAATTCCATCAATGCAAAAAGCCCTTGAGACTGTGGATGTACCTTTCCTATTCTGCACTGAAGGAAGCTGTGTGGTGCCCAGTGTCCAGCTGTGGTCACCTGTGTTGCAAGTGTCATTTCAGGCTGAAGTGGGGCTTACGTGCAGTGGAGCGGATCCCCAGGAAGACCTCATATCGAGAAGGCTCGCCAAAGCTTGCAGGTGGGGAATTACCAGACACAGTGATAGCTCTTCACAGTCCACAGATGATTCTCCTCTTTCATTAAATGTTATCTCTCTTGGCTCACGGTGTTCTATTTGCTAACAGATTGTAGACTATATGAGTTTAGCTCAATGCCTACTATTAAGGTAGATTTTAGTGGAATTTAAAAGCTGCATTGTATAAGCATGAGAAATGTAAAGCCAAAACGTTAGGTTTGCATTCGAGATTAGGGAGAGAGAAGTGACATTTTCTGTTCATGTAAAAAGGAGGAAGATTTTATTGAAACGGTGTCCCAGTGGCTAGAGGACATGCCTGTGACAGAAATTGGTCTTTGGGTTTTTTTTAGAAGGAAAGCAGATATTCAAGAGAACCCTGTTCCCAGGTGTGTGTGTGTACACAAATGGGAAGTGTGGAGAGCTTGGGAAGACTTCCACAAAGGTCTAGGAGTCGAAGAAAATGCATAGACAGCTCTCCAATGAATCTTCCCAACTTTGCTTTGCCCCATGCCCTGCAGAGCCCCAGTCCATGCGGCTTTCTGCTGTCTGCACATCACCTTGACACTGCCTTGCACACCTCACGTAGGTCTCAGTTGGAAAACACCGAGTGGTGGTGTGAAATAACCCTGGCTGAGAAGGTCGGGCATCGAGGCCCTGCTGTTCACAAGGCAGAGATGTGCTCTCTCCGCTCGTACAACAAACCCAGGGGAAACGAAGAGTGTGATACTCCCAGGATGGACAATCTATGACCGCGATGTTCACATCTACAGCCTGATGCAGCATAAAGAGAAGATAGCCTTCATTTTTCTATCATGTCACACCTAAAGAAGACAATCAATTACACAGTTTAGCATTGGAAGTCTCTTTGTCTCCATGTTGAAAGCTATTTCAAGTTTCCTCAGCCTCCCCAAAAATATTTTCTTTAGACACAGGGAAATTAATATACAGGCAGAGCAAAGTGAAAACAATGTGGGTTGGAGTCACACAGGGTCATCTAAGGACAGGATGGTTAGATTTAGTAAATCAATTTCAGGACACTCAGTTCATTCTGAACTCATAAACAAGTAACACTAGTGTAAGTATCTCATGCATTATTTGTTATATGCTAAACGATTCCTTGCTTATCTGAAATTCAAATTTAACTTGGTGTCCTATATTTTATCAGGTAACCTTATTTGAAGTTTATACAGTTTACAAAAATGCTATGCTTAGTAAACACTAGTTTCCTTTTATTCATTTGGTATCCCTTTCAGAACAATCTGGAAGTACAGTAGTTTATTTCCTAGTCTACAAGACATAACAGAGCATAAAACACACTCTTTTTTTTCCTCAAGAAAATATTTTTGGCAGAACAGCTCTACTTTACATCATATGTGCTTGGGAAACGATTTTAAAATAGTTTTGTAAGGAAAATGTATGATGTTACTGATGTAAATACAATATACACTATACTGTACATAAGAAAACAGTTCTGGATTTGGAATAATGGCCAACTGGTGCGGAGAAATTATAAAATCACACAGAAAAAAGAAATATAACAGCACCAGTGAATACAGAAACACAGCAGGAGAAATGCCACGAATATGTCGGTAAATGGAGTCTGTTCATTAAGGGGTCATTGTGAAAACAAATGCCACCACAGTGGTTCATAGCACATTGGTGACTAAAAAGCAGGGTGCAGTGGGAAATAAATGGCATTTGCACGAATCCCCATCTGGTAATCTCAGTCAGAGGAAATCTAGCAACAGTGACAACAAAAGCATCAATTTTGAATCAATTCCTGCCCAGGGAAGGTAGACAAATTATAAGTGGATTATATGCCGACAAAACAATATTTCAGTAAAAATCAGTAGGGAACACTGAAGGAAAAGTAAAACTTTCAATAAAATTCAAATGTCATGTGTCTGCATGCAGAAAAAAATAAAATTTCACTGACAATTAGTACACAGAGGAAGGCAAGAAGAGGGAAGAAATCTTGGATAAAGTTAGCTTAATCAGAAGCTTACCAAAAGATCCATTAATATTTGAAATAATCAAACATTGGCAGTAGTATATATAAACTATGCATGTACAGGAAGTCACCCAGTCTCTGCTCAGAATTCTCTAGGTCTCCAGGGCTTGTACCTCAGGATGAGAAGACCACCTTCTCCGAGACTGGAAATGCCTGTCTTTGCCCTGATGTTTTTTTCAGTTTGCACTTATTGGGCCCCCTGGGTGTGGCACCCTTGCTCCCTGCTGCCCTGAGCTCCACTATCTAGAGCTCCCGATAAAACTAAGAAACAACTACTGCCTTTTGGCTTGTCATATGGGTTGCGTTGACCTACAGGAATTTTAAGATAAATTGCTTTTTGGAAAAATGCTGGCAGATATGGGTCCACTCTACAAAGTGGGTACTGACCATATTTGAGAGAGGTTTAGGAACAACATACAAACAATTGTAGCAGGGTTAATTGCACCTGGCCTGCACACATCTTCATTCAAATCAGTGCCCAGATTCATCTTTCAAACCAAGAGTAAAGCCAAATGCAGGGCTGAGGGGCCGGGGGGGTCATAGCAGGCACAGAGATCAAGGAAAAGTGGCTGCTTCGTGTCAGTATTGTGCACAAAAACACTGTGCAAATTCAAAGTGAGAGGAACCACAAGTCCTCCAGACAGGGAGCTGGAAGTGACCAGGAAATCCCTGCGCCTGGAACAACAGGACCTGGCACCGTTGGCAGCCAAACGTGAAATTCAGTCTCAGAAGTTCAGAGTGAGGACTTCCCTCTGGCTTCCCTGAGGATGGAGAAGGAAGAGATTAATCCTAAAGTCCTGTTAGCAAAGTTCAAATTCACAAAACACTAGTCTGTTATCTTTAAGTAGCATACCTTAGTAGATTTTAGCTTATTTTTCATAATGATTATAAATGGTTTTAAAAGCCTCAATAAAGTGACAACTGGATAATAAGCCACTTGGGACCTGGATATGGTTTTCAGGTCACTAGCTATGGCCCTACTGTGACTGCCACCCCTCATACCCGTGGCTGGAGTAGAGCCCCAAACCCCAGGTCATGTGGGGAAGGGGAGAGGCGTAGCTGTGCCCCTGCTTGCCAGTGATGTGCAGGACTGGGCTGCTCCTCTGAGGAGGAAAAGCTGCAGGTCCCAGGGTCAGTCATCTGCTCAGCATCTCACACTTCCTCTTCTCTCAGGCCACATGTCACAGTGGTGACCCCAACTGGCCTCCCGCAAAGGTGGCCCTGCCAGCCTCTGCTTGCAGTGGAGCTCAATGGTCCAGATTGTTTTTTCCTTCCTGGTGGAGGTCCCAGAAGTATAGAGGACATTCACCAAAATGATAGATCTCTCCTCTGTAATTGTGCCTGGGAACGGCTGCTCTCCTCTGGCGTGGGCTGCACTCGGGGCTTGGTGAGTCATGAAGCTAACAGATGAGGGCAGAGGACAGTGTCTGGGGAAGAATCATGCCCAGACTGCTGGCACCAGAGGAGGGACTGGAGTGCCCTGTGCAGGGCGACCCTGTGCCACCTCACTTTTCCCAGGAAGCCATTCCACTCAAGCACAAGGGAATGGATGGGTCCTGGAGAATGCCGTGGCCACTGTGGATCAGAGAAGCTTTGATGTAAGGGGCTGGGGGGACCAAAGTTCCCCCTGCAGGGACCGTTTGGGTGGGGCTGGGACCTCTGTGGCATTCACAGGCAGGGTATGCTGTTTCCTCCTCAGATGTCAGAGCCAGGGGATTGGAGGAATGGAGAGAAAGAGGCGGCACCCCTGAGAGATGGGAGAATCTTCCCGAAGGGTCAGCACTAAGGGAAAACATGGAGCCACAGGAGAGGAGACTGGGAATGTGGGTGAGTCCGAATGGCCATCTACCAACACTGAGATCGGGTGACACAGATAACTCCCCTTTCCGCTACCTGTTTCTTATCTGTGAAGGGGGAAATCGTATTGCCATAGTATTGACACATTGCACATAGTCAAGTGAATGTTACTGTTTGCAGAGTAAAACCAAGAAAGACCTGAAATCTAAGAGGAAAGATAAAATCTGGAAGATGTCAGAACTGCAGTGCTTTAAGCTCCAACACATAGACCCAACCATGGGTAAACTGAACCAGCCTATTTCATCACCATACCACCTCAGGGCAGCAACAATCTGGACAATGGGCCTCAGCAACCACCGGAGGATATTCTGTTTCCATGTATTAACCTTCTTAGTTATTACTGGTACTGATTGCTCCAAGCAAGTGAAGACTATTGTGAGCGCCTGAACTTAAGCAGCTCTGTGCAATTGAAATCATAACCAAAGCAGAATTAATGAAGCCTCTTTGTGTGGCATTAGCAAGGCAATTTCTATGAGAATCCCCAAGGCACAGATACCTTGAAATCCAAGAAACGTGAAAGGTAGTTGAATTCTTATTAGCAGCTCATGCTACAATAAGCTCTTCACCATCACTAGCAGGCATTCAGTAGGAGTCTATTGCTTTGGAAGCCAGTGTCTCATCTCGTAAACAGAGAACATATTGATCAGTTGCAAAGGAACTAGAAACAAAGCAGCAGAGCTGTATGCATGACAGACTTAGCTCTCTTAGGAGAACTTTCTCGCACACTTGCCATGATCTGTTACCTTCACCAAGATGAACACAATTATCTCTTCCTCCAGTTACTCTTCCATTCCTGACTCACCTGAAGTGAAGAGAACACCCTGTTCAAGGCCCTTGGGACTCTGGTTGATGCAAAACATTCATCAACAGGTAAGACTGGTGCTGTGTTCCAACCTGCAATGTTCTCCAAAGGCCTTTTTCTTTAAGTCTTGGGTGGAACCTTCAAGAAGATGGACCTAGGGGAAGTTTCTAGGTCATGGGGGCCATGCCCTTGAAGAACACTGTGGAGCCTCAGTCCCTCCTCCTCCTCTCTTTTGCTTTCTGGCCATGAGATTTTACTCTACCATGTGCCATTTTCATGACATGTTCCCTCATCACAGGCCTAAAAGCCACACTGCCACCAAGCATGAACTGAAACCTTTGAAACTGTGAGCCTACATAACCCCTTTCTCTTTATAAGTTGATTATCTCTATTATTTGTTATGTTGATGGAAAGCTGACTAACTCACTGGGTGACTGTATCCAGGCACAGTTGATATAATATGTGTGCCCTCAACAATATAATATGTGTACAGTATTCAACACCAACTGGCGCATTGCACCTAAACTGAGTAGCTCAAGAATGAGAAGTCCCCTGGAGATCTCAAGCATACCTTCACTTGGGCACACTGAATGAATTTATCACTGATTTCCTTTGTCCCTGGGTCTGGAAGAACAAATTCTCAATGCCACATTTCTCCCAGTTTCAATGCAGCTCTTTAAAACCTCCCCAGGAAAGTTCATAAATGCCTTCCCTGGCTTGGTGTCCTCCAGTGCACTCCTGAAGATGACATTCTATGGGGTCCATGGATGGACATTTGAAACACACACTGTCAAGCCATTGGCTGGCCAACAGCCAATCAGATACTCTCAATGGTATTAAGCAAGAATGGGAGGTGGAACACTGGCACAGTGATATCACTGATACTGGGACCCTCAGCCAGATTGGACAGGAGGAGGCTGATGTGGAGGCTGACAAAGGGCTCAGCATGAGAAGCCAGGAAGCCAAGTGACCTCTGAGACAGATGCACCTTTTCTATGTTTTTTCTTAGAGTGTTGAAATTTTCTCATATTCTGCTCCTGGATAACGCCTAGATGAACTGTTAAAAACTTGGACTTACTTCTCCTGTTTTTCATCCTTATTAAGTGATCTTTGCTCCGTTCTACCATGGGAGACTCTTTCTTAGAAGACCGTTCTGCAGTCTTCTAGCAACCTAGTGACTTCAGGCAAGTTACATACCTCCTCTGGGTTTTAGTTTCAGCCTCTGCCAAATGACAACAATAACTTCCCTAAGTCCAGAGTTATTCTGAGGATCAAAAGAGTAAATTTGTTTAAGACAGCTATGATGTTGCCCAGACCCTGAAAGATATTTGGTCACAGTGATACTTCTACCCTTTCATTAGCTAGTTAGCCTTTCTGAACTCCTCCCTAGGGGAAGATCTGAATTAGAATAGAGTCTACAGGAAGGAATCTGTATTCCTCTGGGGGTTCTGCCCAGGGTCAGTGAGCTCCTAATGCAAATGGAAACGCTCTGCTTGTCTTGCTTTCTCTCCCCCTGGTTTCATGAATGTTCTTTTGTGCAGTCAACAGCAAAGATTCTGGGGCTACTCGAGCTCACCCCTTGTTCTGTGATTCTGGGCAAGTTAGCGCACTTGTTTACTCCATACTTCCCAATGTGTGAAATGCAAACAGGATTATCTAACAATATACACTTAAGTAAGTTAACAGGAATGTTTGAAGCCATGTCTGGCATATAGGGCTCTGCGAGTGTTAGCAGTAACTCTACTCTCATCTCAGCATCCAGTTTCCTCCAGCAGCCAGAGTCTCGATTTCAAAGCCCAGATCTGCCCATGCCATGCTTCCAATCCACACCACACAGTGACTCCACGTTGCCCTTAAATCTTTTGCCCCTTGGGTCAGACCACACTAGTGGTCTCCTATCTGGCTCCTCCTCTGGTATACCTGGCTCCTCCTGTCTCTCTTGATTCATCATTAATCAGCAGTATAGGTAAATCTGAAGGTAAGCAAAGTAAAACAGACATGGGACAAATACTGCATGATTTCACGTATTTGAGGAATCCAGAACAGTCAAACTCATACAAGTGGAGAGTAGAATGTTGGTTTTCAGGAATTTCAGCAGGGAAAATGAGGAATCGCTGTTCAGTAGCTATAAAGTTTCACTTTTGCAAGAGGAATAAGTTCTAATGATCAACTTTGCAATATAGTGTTTTATAGTACACTTAAAAACTCTTGGAGAGGGAAAGCAGGCTAAGTAGCCTGGTCTGGCTGAAACAAGGTCCTCTGCTATGCCTAGCAGGTGAAGCACCGTCAGGGCGTGCAGGGATGTTGAGGCCCCGTCTGCAGTTGGTGTGAGGGCCATCAGCTCCCCCTGGCCATGAGACAAGCTTCCAGGTGCAGCAGAACCAAAATAGCATTTTGTAACCCGAGAGACTGCACCCCCTCTCCCAAACTCAGTGCCTGCCGTCTGTCTAACAGGCCGCCCCACGTCACACAGGTGGGGGTGAAGGGCTGGCTCCTTGTGTGACTGTCCAGGAACAACACTGCCTTCCAGATTGTGCTTGGCAGTGAGTTTCCAGAGAAGCAACTGCAGTCCATGAGCTGAAACTCAATAGGAAGTCTCAATGCTGGAAATATCGGTGTGATTTGGCCTTCATGAGGAAGCACAGCTGTGCATTTTCAGTGCTGCAGCCTTCACTGCTATTTGCTGGGAACTGGCTTCTCTGACCCAAATCTGATGAGGAGGAGACAGGCGTGGCTTACTGTACCGCATCCAACTGCAAAGTACAGGCTGAAATCCCCACATAGAAACAATAGGTGCTAGCAAGGCATATGGCTGTGTAAACATGCCATGACAGGATAGTGGCACAGGTCATGTGACCATGCCTGAACCAATAACTCCTGTCCATTGGCTGGCACACAGTGATTGGGCATTCCTGGGCCTCGTGCCAATCGTAAGGGCTGTTTGGATTCCCTGTGTGTTGGAGTGGTCTAGCCATGGAAATTTGAGAATGAGAGGGAAGTATCCAAGGAGGAATCAAATAAATCATTTTAGTTATACAGAGTGTAGGATACTTGCAAAGTTTGTGGTCAGGACTCAAATGTCATGTTCACCTCACTCACACACAGCCTCAGCCTCTGGATCATGCCACAGGTGCTTTCTTTGAGCAGCTTTCTCTGCTGCTCTTCCACTTCCCTCGTGGAGGGACCACCTGAGATCCCTGACCTCACACATGGCCCTCTGTAGAGTCCACCATGCTGTCTACTTCATCCTGGTGACCTAGAGAGGATTAGGCATAGAGCTCTACACCCAGAATCCACGCTGAAGTCCAGGCCTCTGCTCATGAACTTGGGTCCCCTTCCTGCGTGGGTTCCACATCTAAGCGTTGCTAATGGCAAGCTCCTGTTCACCACGCCAATGCCGGGTCTCTTTGCAAATGTCCTTCACCCCGCCTGGAGTGAAATGTCCCTTCTTTTCCCAGCAACCTTGTTTTCATCCTTTGAGGCCTCCTCTGTGAAGCCAAATGGGAAAGTCAAGACTGCTGTGGTCACAAGTGACAGAAACCCCAGGAGCAGGTTCAGAGCAAGGAGAGAATTTATAGGCTTAAAATGGGACCAACTGGGTCGACCCTCAACAGAACCAGGGCTGTGGATGCCACACTACATCTCTGTCTCTCTTCTGCACACCTATCTCTACTGAGCCTCCCTCTCAGATGGACAGGATTGTCCGGCATCTGTCAGAATGACTGTAGACGATTTTGTTCACTTTTCCAGCTTCCATGTACAGAATGGGGTGATGGCCCAGCAGCCTGGTTGGTGCCCAGGAGTCAGGGTCTCCTCAAGGTAGAGCCTTTTCTAATGCAATTTGGAAGCATTTGTGTCAAGCAGAGATCCCAACACACATAATTTCAGAAAACCTGCTGCTGAATGAATGGGTAATGTCAAAATCATAGCCTGATCAGGCAAAATTAGTCAAATGTGAAGAAATAAATCAGGTGAAACTGCTGCTGTGAGATGGAAACACTGGGCTGCTTAACTTGCTTATCATTTTTATTATCAATTCTAAAAACTTTCATTTGTAATCACCTGAGGTGGCGCATACCTGTAATCCCAGCACTCGGGATTCCGGGGCCAAAAGATTGTGATTTTGAGGTCAGCCTAGGCTACAGAGCAGCAAGACTCTGTCCCTAAACAAGCAAACAAGAAACCCTTTCATGTGTCCAATTGTTGGGGGTTTTTCATTTATGAAGAGCTTTCACATAAACCCATGAAGTTCTCACACCACCACCCGGGCAGGTAAGCGGTCCCCATGTACTCCTGGAATTGGTGAAGGGGACTCAGAGAGGCTGGAGCAGACACTCCTGGGCAGGAGTCCTGGCCCGGCCACACTGCGTGGGGCACCCTGAGAAGTGTCTCAGCTCTGGTCCTCACCATCCTCCACAGTGACATGGTGGGAATTGCAAGTTTCGCCCCAGGAGAACTGCAGGGCAGGGTGCTACAGGTAGGTCAGTCTGAACAGGGCTGGATCCAGGGCCCACAGGACATTCCCAAAGGGTGTCCACAGTGGGTTTCAGTCCCTTGCAGGGAATATAAGGTGCTGCTGGCAAAGAAGGCAGAATGGATGCTGGCCCAGCACAAATAAGGAGGGCCTTCCATGAGCTCCTTCCCCATGCTTCCAATCCCTGCTGAGGGGTAGAAGGGAAGAGATTGAGCTTGGAGACAAGTGAGATGCGCTGCAGGTTCCCATCCTAGTTCTTTTTTGCAGACTTCATTAAGCGCTGTGCCTGGGGCATTACCCACAATGCTCTGCCTCCTTCCCCACCATATATCCAGCGGCCACACGAGAAGCATGGTGTGAGGCCTCCTGTCTCCCCCCGGGTTCTGGACTCTCATTAGACCGGTAGGGCCTTACTCCAGGCTCCTGGCAGCTACCTGCCCACTGGTACACCTGCTCAGCCACCTGCCGTGTCATCTGTCCCCCGGGTGTGGTCCTCACCTAAAGGAGGTGTGCTGTGGGCCACTGCTGTGCTCTCGGTCAGAATCCTCTCTCTAAAAATGTTAAGGAAGGGCTCGTTGAATACCCTAGGCCTTCACCTCATCTCCTTCCCTCTCATTGTTCATTTTTGCTTTGTTTTTCTTTCCTGATCTACCTTTCCCCTTAGAGGTTTGCTCTCAGTGTTTGTGGGCTCTTTGCTTCCTGTTCCTATTTCAAGGTGAGAAAACCGAAAAGCAGTCTGCAAGATTGGGGTCCACAGACAGAGCTCGTAAGGAGGCTGTCTTTCCCGGAGGGCGATGTGGCCGGGGGGCTGACTTAGCAGTCTTTGTAGTTTGTCAGAGTTTGTGGTTTCCACCAGGCTTACCCATCTCCGTGGAGACTGTTCAGCCCCGGGGAGGTGGCCAGGAGCAGGGGCCTGGTGTCTCTCGGGAATCCTCACGCTGTCAGCCGCACCCACGCCTCCATTTCCACTGTCATGGTCCCCACAGTTCCTGAGACCTTTCAGACCTCTGCCCAGTGGAGTTCATTTCTTCCCAGCTGCCCCCAGAGCCAGGTTAAACCACGTCTGTCTGCAGAAGTCAGTTACCACTTGCCCACCTATTTGGCAGTGCGCAGATATTCTCATTGCCACCTTGTCTCCCTTTTCTTTGTCCTTGTGAGTTCACATCACATCCTGCTTTCTTTATAAAAGTTCCGTATTTAATGGTATTTCTGGAGAAAATCCAGCAAAGCAAACAAGTATGTTTTCCTAGAGCCTATATGAATGTTTATTTGGACACATGGACAGGAGAGATGGAGGGGACAATTCTGGTGACAGTTTGGTGGTGCCCTAAAGATACAAGTCTCTTGGCGACTGAGGAGACCAGCCGCCCTCGGAGGCGCTCCTGAGAGCCTGGTGGCTGCATGATGCTGGCTGAGTTACTTGTCTGTCTGGATCTGTTTGTCCGTCTGTAAAGTGGGGGAGGTGGGAGTGTTTTCTATTGTGCAGGGCCATCGTGAGAATTACACCAATTACCAAACCTCTAACAGTATCAGCAAGCACAGTAAATGTATCGTCACATTAGTAGTTGGCTTCAGAGAGAATGAGTTCAAATCTCCACAGCCCAGTGTGTCACACCTGCAAACCCATTTCATCAAAGCAAGGAAGACCATGCCGGGTCCTAAGGTTACCCCATTGTTCCTTCCCTCTCCTCACCATCTTAGTCCTGACTCTGCAGACATGAGTTAGGAGAGCTGCACCTCTGTTTTATGGCCCTGTTTCCTTTGGTTGGAGTCACACCATTAAACCAAAGCACATCCCAGCCTGTAGGAATCCAGCTCAGCCAGAACTGTAATATCTCTGCACATAGATGCGGGCCCGGGAAGTCAAAAAGATGGCTTAGAATGAGATTCGTTCCACTAGCTCAGGAAGACAAATGACAGGAGTCAATGGCCACTGGTCAGCAGGGCCATTGGCATTTCCTTTGTTTAAGAAATACGTTGTGAGCTCCCTTCAGTGCACTCCCATCAGCCAGCTGGACACTTCCTGTGTGACATCCTGTCAAGCCTGGCTCGGTAGTCTGGGACCGTACTGGGGAGTGACTGCTGAAAAAGTGGCACTGCGCTACAAAGAGCACCCTAACCAGACTGGATTAAATGGCTCATTTTGAGATGTTATTAACACTGAAGTGATCAGGTGCCCTGTCGTTTCTGAAATGCAATGTACTTATGACTCAAGTCTAAATTTTAAAAGTAATTTATAGCACCTACCACCAACAGCAAGCTTTTGTTTCATTTACTCTTTCATTCTTCCCATACATCCTGCCGTCCAACCACCATACAGCAGACCCCATCTACACCCCTCAGTCTTGTCCCTCCCTTCTCTGGGGGACACCAAGTTCTGCCCAGAGGCGCTCCTCAGTCACGCTCTCAGTGACACACAGCTAACCACCCTCGGGTGATGAGTGTGCTGTCACAGACTGGTGGACAGGGGGTGGTTTGGAGAACCCACCTTGGTTCAGGAGAGAGGAGGAAGGCTTCCACAGCAAGTGTGGCTGGAACTTGACTCAGAAGGATGAGAGAGCAGCAAGGGTAACACAGGAAGAAAATAATCCACAATGAGGGGGCACACACAAAAAGCTAGGAATATTTGGAAACTGGTAAGTGGGCTGTGGACCAAGCTGTGGACTTGCTGAGGGCTGAGGACAGCGGGAATGACGCTGGAGGTGTGGTCAGGACTACAGTCCCGGAGCTGCCGAAGCAGAAGCCCCCGAAGCCAGGACTGGGTCAAGTCCGTGCGAGGGTGTGAGAGTAACACGAGGGCAGTGTACACACACACCTGCCGTGCCTGCCCCACCGAAAGCAAACAGTATGCCAAGGAAAAGCAAAGCAGCAAACACTGGGTCACACATTGGGCCGGCCTGCACTTCCTCCTCTAGGCTACCAGAAGCGGGGGAGGCAGTGTGACCTGACCGTGCCTTCTTGCTCTTCAAGTGGATCTCTGCATGGGACCAGCTCTGCAGCCCAGATGCTCTGACGCTGCAGCTCGTCCTTCCAGGCTCTTCCAGATGCATTGACCGCAGAGGGAGGCTTAGGGCCTGACCTCCCCACCTTCATCCTGTTTCTGAGCACCACTTCCACAGGTGATGGTTTGGATCCACAGTGTCCCCCATATGTGTGGAAGGTGTGCGGGTCACAGGGTGCTGTACTCATCAGCGGATTCATCTGTGCTTGGGTTCCTAGCTGAATGTGCTGCCAGGCGGTGGGGCCCGGGGGGACCTGGTCACGGGGTGGTGGGATGACCTGGAGGGTGCGTTCTTGCCCCAGATCCTCGCTGAACTTTCTGCTTCGTGGCTGCCATGGTTTCAGCACCGTTCCTCTGTGATGTCCCTCAGTCGTGTGTTTCTGCCTTGGAGCCAGCCGACAATGAGCCAAGACTGAGCCAACCAAGACTGCTCCTTTAAATTGTGAGTGCTGAGTATTTTGTCCCTGTGAAGGAAAAGTAAATAATACAGCAGTGCCTCGGTTCACAAATGCTTCCGTTTGCAAATAATTTGGTTCGCAAACAAAAGCATTTGATAAAATTTTGTTTCTGTTTGCAAACTCTACATCAGGTGACAAACACAACCACACTCATCTCTCTCACACAAACACAAATGTGGCCGTCCTTTCCAAAATCATGGAAAAAATTAAGTTCGTGAACTGAGGTAGCACTGTACACCAGCATTCTGCCCCAGGGAAGCACTTCATTACATGACCCTACAAGGTGACAGCCAGTTATGGAGATTTCAGAGCTTAGGCATTTTAGGAATGGCAGGTTGTGAGTATATTACATACTTGCAGAAGGGATTCTTTTTAGAAAAAGTGTTGATTGATTTGCTTTTGAAACTAAAGAGACCTTATTATGGTTTTTTTGTTGTTGTAAGAAAAGCTTAGGATTGACAAAGACACAGGAGAAACATCAAGCTCAGATTTTGAAGAGACAGCAGAGCCCTAACGGCTCAGAATGCATTTGACTACAAAACCCAAATAACCATGGTTTAAACCAGCAGTGCCATGTTCTTCTGGTACAGCAAGAAGCCCACAGCCTGGGCACCTGAACTTCAGCAAGCCACACAGGGAGCCAGGAGGCAGGCAGGCTTGTTATCTCAAAGCACAGTGGCATTTCGAAGCTGTGTCCCAAGAGAGAAGACAGGAAACTGGAATGAGTGTGGTCCTTATCAGGGAGGCCAACGGTCTCTGAGAAACCCAAGCTCTGCTTGGCCTCTCTGTACCAGCCGGGCCTCACACGATCAGAAGAGCAGGACATGGAGGTGCCATCACGCTAAGGCTCTTCAGTAAAGTAAACCAGGTCCGCTCTCAGGGCACGGAGGATGGCGGCTTTGGGTAAACCACAGACACGGAGACGGAAGTTGGAGAACCCAAGGACAAACTGAAGCCTCAGCATCCCACCCAGTTCTCCAGGTGTCCACAGTCCCCCCAGCTGTTCAAGCACAGAGAGCAACGTGACCAGCTGTCCCTCGCAGAACGGTCTCCTTTCCATGGTGTTCGCTCGGCGCTGTGTTCTTGAGTTTTTAAGAGTTGCCAATGCTAATAGTACGGCATGTAAAGAACATTTTCTGCTTCTCTTGAAAACTCCCAACAGCTGCCCCCACGGCAGCAACCAGCAGGAAGGGAAGCCCCGAGCCGACGCTGGGAGAGGGATGTGTGGTCCACAGATGCCGCCAGCCCCGGTCTCTCCAATCCCGCTGCTACATGAGGCGTGGTCCTCGTTCCTAACCGACTTTGGCTGTGTGGCCTCTCCTCAACACTCTATCCACCAACTGTGCTACAGGTACTCGAGTACATCCTGAAACAGCAGAGGTGGACAGACCACCATCTCAACAACCACGGTCAAACAACCCAGAGTCGATCACAGGCAAAGCATCACCGAGGGCTGGTTCCCGTCCGGTCATACACAAGGCACAAAGAAATGTCCACAGAGCCCACCAAAAAATATATACAGACTTCAGGGAAAGAACAATAGTATGAGGGTTTTCTCCCCAGATGGTGTTACCCTCGTGTGGGGGACCCTAGAGGGTGTCGTCTATAATGGCCGAAAACTGACCATTGTCGGCCCTTGGAGAATAGACTGAAAATGCATGTGCAGCAATCCCAATGACCAAGGCCACCCGAGCAGCAGTTCGCCGGTGGAAGCTCCTGGCCACCACTCTGAGCACCTCGGGTCCTTGTAGAGCCCGAAGGTAACTTGCATTAATCTCATGATGTCTCAATTAATTTAGTATTGAAATATTTATACAAGTTTTTCTTTTCCTGAAGTGTGCATACATTTTTTGGCGGACGCTGTCTAAAGCTAGAAGAGCCTTAAAGGGGTTCATAGCAGACTGTGTTGGTCGGGGGGAGATTCCCAGGTCAGAGAGCAGAAATGGTCCCAGAAAAGGCACAAGGACGTCACATCCAGGCACAGGGAGAAGAGTGAACTGACACATCCCCTGCTGTCAGGAAACCACAAGCAGCGCCCAGCCCTCTGGAGGCTGTAAAGTCCCCTGGGACCTCCCTGGGACCACGGGTTAGTCCTTGCTCCCTTTATTCCCCTGTCTCAATTCAGCAACCCTTGCTTGTCCAACTGACAGCAAATCCGTGAAGAGGCCCGAGTGGTGGCTTAGACCTCGTGGTCTGCCCATGTTAACAAGTGTGGGCCGAGGGGAGAATTTCAGGACAGTGGAGAACAGCACACACTCCCCGCATTCCCCGCTGTGAACTGTGTCTAAGTCTCCCACGGTCAGAGCTGAGCACCGTATTAGGGACAAACTAGGGTCCTTCACTTTTTATTGGCTGGATCAGTACATCAGAGTAAAAGAGATGGAAATGATTCTTAAAAATGAAAGAAAATGAGATTTCAAAAATTGTGTCCTTAATTCTGAAGTTGGCAAGGGTTTTCTCTAAAAAAAAGTCCCACAGTAAAGGTTTTTAAGTGCCTTTTGCACCTGCTTAATAGTGCTATTACAGCACAAAAGCAGCCATAGATTACACGTAAATGACCAAGCATGGCTTGGCTCCGATTAGACTTCATAGATGCTGAAACTTCAATTCCATATTATTTTCAACAGCTACCAAAGCTGTCTTCTTTTCATTTAATTTCAACCATGTGAAATCTACAAACCATCCTTAATTCCTGGGTCATACAAACCAGGTATCGAGTTGGACTTGGCCTTCAGGCTACACATTCCTGCAGCCTGTCAAATTCACAGAAGGAAGCAGGCTCCCAGCTTCCGGAACCCAGCTTTGGATCAACCGTCACTGAGCAAAAGACCTTCTGACTGCCTTGGCAGGGACTAATGTGCAGGAGGGGCATAGGCCCCTCTCCTTTGGTTACCTCATTCAAAAGTGCAGGCAATCAAATTCTCCCTGGCTCCACTAGGAAGCAAACGATGAACAAGTGGACAAGCCACAGAATAAGTAGAAGTGTTTCCGTTATGCTGCTCGGTGCCCATGAGGAGAAGCCAGTCTTCTGTCACTCAAACACCTCCCGAAATGTTACAGACAGCCTAAAGCCTCCATTCACACAGACGCACTGAGAAGCAGGGCAGGCAGGCTCGGAGCTCTGGTCCTCTCTGGCTGGTCTAGGGAACTGGTGAACAGATAGTAACCCCCAAAAAGTTAAGACACTAATTTTCACATCTCTGAAAACCACATCAGCTCCTCCCAAGCCAACCCTGAGAAGCCCTGAGCACTGTCTTTAAGTCCCCTGAACACAGCGGAGTGTGAAATTCCTTTTCCCCCTTTAGACACCATAACCAATGACATCATCACAGAGAGAGCCGGAGATGCCTGTTGCCAGGGTGACCTGGCTCTGGGCTGTGAGATGCCCAGCTCCCCCTGCCTGGGCCCTGACTCCCCTGGAAGGGATTGTAGGTGTGGGAGGTCTGATCCCAGAGGTCCCCTCCTCCCTCCTCTAGAGAACTGATTAGAAAACTTGCACTGTAAGCTCTTCCTCTGCTCCTTGGAGATGCAAATGTATTTAAAAGCCACCTTTCAGCTTTCTCTAGGGGAGCCTCCCTCTGAGCTGGGACCTTGGAAGAAATCAGGGCCCACTTGCAGGCGCTGGGGAGGGAAGGGGCCTGAGAGCGTTCCCTTTTCCCGGGGTGAGAACAATCAGCATAGCCTTGGCCTTGAGTCCTTCCACCCTCCCTCCTTCCAAGCTCTCTCATCCTTTGTTGCAGTGGACCTGAGCCTGGAATAATAAGCCTTTTTCTGCTTACTCATTTTAAGTGGAGCAAAGTTTGCTTTGATTTTTGCATGCACACATGGGAAGGGAGGTTTTGGGTTACACTCAGTTTCACCCACCTGTTTTGTTTTTTGTTGGGACAGGGTCTTGCAATGTTCCTCAATCCCCCCTGCCCCAGCCTCACAAGGGTGGGATTAAAGGCGTACACCACCACTCAGTACTGCTTGATCTATTTTTTTAGACTGGAGAGACCCAAGCCTGTTGGTTTGTACGAATCACAGAGGGAACTCGTGAAAGCATCCTAACCCAGGGCCACCTCAACCTAAAGAATCAGTCCACCAGGTGGGCCTGCACTTATACACAGCATCAGAAGGCGGTGTGGGGTTGTGTTTTATCAAGCAAATTGTGAAATGCGCTCATAAAGCGTAGACAGGGAAGACACTTATTTGAGCCATTTCTTTCAGGCTCTGTTCAAGATAAAATTTGTCAGCCAACTCCTCAGGGAATTGTAGCTTCTGGTAAAAGATAACCTCTCTCTCCTTTCTCATCTACACACTTCCACACCTTCAAAATGACCCCCAAAAGGTTTTAATTGCTGAGAAAACATTATAGCTTATTACCCACCAGGGCTGCCAGCAGAATTCAAGGGAGTCAGAAAGAAGAAAATAAAGCTTTGGTCTATGCAGCCACTTTCCCCGTCTGAGTGAGAGGGAGCAATGGCCAAGCAAAAGACTTCAGAGTCGCCCACAGCGGAAGTCAGAGGTGCAACGTGAACAGTTGTATAGCACCTGCTCTCTAAGGGACAGGGGGTCCAGGAGGGACCAGAAGACCTCCTGACGGTGCATAACCAATTCTGCTGATGACCCCTCTGACTCAGCTTTGTCCTGTGGGGATCTGGCACAGATCCTCCTTACCCACTGCTGCACAGGAAGTGACCTTAAGAAAGAGCCAACCCAGGGTGCATGTGGTGGCTCGAATGTCTCCTCCAAATCTTTCTGAAAGTGAATCGCCATGGTGGCAGCGCTGAGAAGCGGGACTTTTAAGAGGCCACGAGGCGGGTGGGCTCTGTCTTCCTGAGTGGGTTGAGGACCTGTCTGGGAGCGGCGGGGATGGGGGAGGAGTGAGCTCTCCTGCAGGGGACCCCGCCCTCTCCGCCCCACAGGTGTGCGACCTCAGCTGTGCTTTGATGCCGTGAGAAGGTGTGACTTGTGTTCTTGGAGACTCCCTGGCCTCCCCAAACTGTAAGAAGTCGATCTGGGTTCCCCAAAGATGATCCCCTGGGATATTCTGTTCCCGCAGCAGAGAGCAGATGAGACAACGACCAGCCGCCCACCCCCGTTTCCTAGGGGCTCAGAGTGGCCACATCCGCAGCTGTCAAAGCCTCTTCCTTCCTCCTTAGGTCCTGAGCCCACCAGGAAAGCCGTCCGAAAGGTCGCTGGCTTATCTGATCGAGACTGGGGCACAGGCAGCCCTGGAGGGCTTCCTGGCACTCGGCCGTCCATGGCCAGGCTCCCCTGGCTCTGCAAAGCCACAGCTGCCCGGGGACAGGGGCAGGGCAGGGCAGGCTCTGGTCCCCTGGGCTCTGAGACCCTCTTGCCTGGCATGGGCGGTGGTAGCAGAAACTGTAGAGAATGTGACTTCCAGGTTAAAAAAATAATCACTGGGTTTTTGGCTCCATGTAAGCCTACTCCAAAAAACAAACTCAATGGGAAAGAAAAAACGAGAGAATTTGAAAAAGATTTGAATATTTTGGAATATTAACTTGGAATATTTGAATATGTTGGAAATCCTGAATAAAGCAAAATTTAAACTTCCAGAAACAGCACTTTCAATTTGGGTTAAGACTCTTACAAATCAATGTTTTTATCCCTCTATAAAATATATTTAAATTTTTGTGAATACATATGACATAAATCATATATTACAGACACATTAATGGTGAGTTTAGTTTCTTTACTAGCTCTCCCTACTTTTAGTTCCCTTTCCCAAGCAAACCTCTTTTTAATGATTTTAGCCTTCAGTTTTCCAGCACTGTCGTCCCAGATGCCATAACCAGGTTGTGCCTGCTTTGCCCTTCATCAGTTTTAGGCAATTTCTGCATCTGTGACAGATGAGGATTTTCTTCGTTCACCTGTCCTCTCCCCCAGGGACTGAGGGGTTGCCTCTAGGTCATGTGCACATGCTGCTCATCATTCCATTCAAGATGCCAAGGTCTTTCTTGCTGTTGCTCCTCCTCCAATCAGCCCTTACTTATGCTGATGGAACCAGGCTTTGTGTTAATGTAAAGACACCTGAGTTTCCAATATCTTGTCCTTCCTTTTCTTCCTCACCAGCTCTCCCTCCAAGCTTCTATCAACCACATCTTCATCTGTGATATAGTATCGAGGCTATCAACATTTATAGCCCATTCTACAAATGTACCCAAGAATTCAGCACTTTCTGTAGGACTATCTCTATCAGAGACCTAGTAAATGTTTACATGCGTAGTCAGAGCTTTCTGTGGATCTGTGACGTTGCAGAGAGACGAAGGATTCAACGTGCAGAGCCCGACCCTGGTGCAGACCAAGGCCTCAGTCAGCAGCAGTAGCTCACCATTATCCTCGAGCTCCGAGCTATTCCTGCAAGCTGACTGCACACGAAAATATAATTGAAGGTGGTCCGCTACCAGTTGTAAGCAGTGCTTCACTCCTTTGCCATGTGAAAGGTGATTCTACCTGCTGTGCCTTGCTTGGTTCTAGAACCCACGTGCTAACTCAACATCTGCAGAGCAGGACGGAGAAAATGTTATTTGACAGCACTCCTTGGACTTTCTCCGAGGAGGTGTGAACCTCAGATCTCAGTCTCAGCTCTGGAAGAAATGGAAACTTCTTTATCTACTAAGCTATATGACCCAAGTTTCCTTTTAAGTGTTTCTTGCCTGGAGTGTTTGAGAAAATCTCAGTGAATTTCGTGTTTTCCTATGCTCAGTTTCCAGCTGAGCTGCGTCTCAGTCGCAGGACACA